AAAACTCCCTATAGAAATGTCCTTGTAGCTAAGGATGTCTTCATTGCTCCTCCTACACCAGTTCCCTTAGACCTGAACACTTTATATCCTCTCATTTTGTGACTGATCCATCTTTAATCCATCTATGTTTACTTGTGAGTCTGTATGTTCTAATTTCTGACGAAACTATCTTAGTTTAAAACTTTTGTGTGAACCCACAATTCTTGTCATTCATCCTGCACACCATGTCTCTTGCATTCCCATTTGCATATCATCTTCAAGAATTGCATAAGGAGATTAATAAGAAAATTATATTAAGTAATGCTAATTATAAGCTTAATGCAGACCATAAGTAACGATTTAAAGAATTCAACATTAGCAATTTTGTTATGGTACGGATTCATCCAGAGTAGTTCTCACAAGAAACCGTTAAAAAGTTACATGCTAGATGCGCAGACCCATTCAAAATAATATCCAAGATAAATAGTAACGCTTATATGTCATACCTTCCCAAAGGTTTCACTTTTACCCTACATTTAACATCGATTATCTAGTAGCCTTTGAGGGACCAGAGTTTAACCCTGCAAATCCAATAAACATTGAGCCTTCTGTGATCATACCTAGTGAGAACCCTAGCTTACCTCCACTCCTAAAAAATTTCTACTTTACCTAATGCGGAGGAGATGGAAATAATATTTAGTGATGAAATCATCTCCACTAAAGATGGTGGGCATCAAAGGTACTTGGTGCAATGAAAAGGGAAACCAGAGACGGAGAACACGTGGGTGGATCGCGAGGAGATACAAAGATTGGACCCCGACCTGCTGGAGCTATATGAGAGTTCATGGGATACTTACCCGACGGGGTCGAACTTTCTCTCACCTGGGGAGAATGATGAGGACATCCACCGAACAATTCGATGTACTTACCATCGGCAAGATCGCAGATCGACGGCTACGATTCATAGTATCTATTTATGTTGTTTTAGTGCATTTATTTTATTTTTCAATTTTCCACTTCTACCCCTATGAGGGATTTGTGTCATGTTGTAGCCTGAGGGCATTTGTGTCTTTTATATTTTGTGTTTTGGAGGCCTATATATGAAGGCCTAGTTTTTGTATTATTTTCTAATGATGAATCATGAAGAAAATTTCAGCTTTCTTTGATCTCTTAGTGAGTTCTTGAGAAGAAACCTTATGTGGGTGATAGCAATACCCGTCAACCTTTGGAGTAGTCTAAGGTTTGTGGTCTTATGATCTCTTTGTGAGTTCTTTGTTCTTTATTTTAGTATTCATCTTCCTCTTCCCCCTTCCCCAATACCGCCGACAATCCCCTCCCTTTCTCCCCAAACCTATGGTCTCAACCACTTCCTTTGATTCCCCATACCCGCCGCCCCCCACCTAACATGCCGTCGGCCACTTCATCAACCTGGCGGCCGGCCCCACCCCCTTCCCCTTTGTCGCCGGCCTCCCCTCTTGCTCCCATTCAATTATGATGATTTCAATCATCATAACTCCCTTCCTAAAATAACGCAAGCAATTAAAGGACAGAATTAAGTCATTTGAAATTCAAATTTGAATTTCAAATACTTTCCTTATTTAAAATCCAAATAACGAAAGTTTTAGTCATGAATCCGATTTAACAACAAATTAAATTGGATTTCTTATTTACTTTCCTAGTCTACAACGTTCTATTTGGAAACTCCCAAAATCTCTCCATAATCCCTCTCTGCCCTCATGAAGCCGCTGGCCCCATTAATGGGCATTACCATGGTTTTTCCTAAAGAGGCCCCTAGTTCTCATTTGAATTTTGAATTCAAATTTTGAATTCTAGTTCTTCCCTCCACCCCATTATTTCTTTTAATTAATTACCCTCTTTGGATAATTAATTCCAAAAAGGAGAAATTAAAACCTCAAATTCCCTCCACTTGCCCTAGTCGTTGCTTCCCTCATCCTGCCTAGCCCAAACAGCCGCCCCTCCTCTCCCGACAACCAAACGTCGGACCTCCCCCTCCAAGGCACACAACAAAGAGTCCTCCCATGTCCATGTATGGCGGATCTGGAAGTTGATCATGGATTCATTTATAATTTTCAAGAGGAAATTGATATCATTCAATCACCTTTCTTCGATCCCAGATTTGGATCTGAAGGCACAATCAAAGACGTTGAGCATATTCTCATCACTTTGGCGGACATCATCGAAGAGAAACAACCCACAGGATCGTGGAAGATCGCCGGACGACTCTCCGTTGATCAAAACTGCCGGCATCCTTTGTCTTTTAGTGGCGTCACTGGATTTGCTAACCTTCATCCTCCACTAACCCTACCTCTAAAGAGCGATTGGGAGGGAAACTCGAAGATGAAAGTTCTATTTGTTAAGTGCTGGATTATTGTTAATTGCATATTTGTCTTGCTTTCGTCTTGTTATTGTCTTGAATAGCTCTATTAATCTATCGTGTAACCGCATGTTAGAAGCAAGTCAATAACTACGAAAACTGAAAATCCTAACTTAGTGAAACATTAACCTTATAAATTCATTGCTAAAACAAATTTCTTAATAAAATCTTGAAACTTCGTTGTTTGTTTCACATCACTAGTCATGTATATGCCTTAGGGACAAGTTGGTCTTTGTAATTTTCTTCATTATATTGGCTATTTAAAGCCTCCCCCTCCTTTGAGGGATAATGAATGATATTATGTTATTTTCTGCACTTGTGTTTTCTTGGTGAGATTTGATAGTCCTAAGAGAGAGCTTAAGAGAAGTCCCTAGGTGAGGGCATCGCAATAACCACCAACCGCAGGAAGTGTTCGGGTTCGTGGTCGACGTCGTCGCTCCCCATTCTCTCTCTCTTCCCCTTAAACCGCCGGCCAAATCCCTTCCTCTCTTGGCCGAAACCCCCATCTCCCCCAGCCCTTAGCTGGCCACTTCTTTCCCCCTTCCCCTCTCTCGGCCGAGCACCACCACCCCTCCTCCACCCACCGGCCATAAGCCCCACCACCACCCATCCTAATTCCCCATCACCCCACTTCCACCACCAACCCAAGCCGCTGGCCCCTAGTCCATTTCCCTCCTTAATTTCCCTATTTCCTAAATTAGTTGCTATTAAATTAGAAAATTTTTGAACTCAAATCTAAATAAATTTGAAATTCAAATCCTTTCTTAAATTAATTAACCTATTTTAGGAAACTCCCTTCAATCTTGGATTGATTAAAATATGAAATTAATTAGCACTGATTGCCCCTCCACATTTAACGAAAGTGGACACTTCTCTCCCCTCTCTCTTGGCCGGCCCCCTTACCCTCTCTCCTATCTTATTAATTCATCCAAGCCCTTGCATGACCGGCCCCTCCCCCTCTCTCCAATTCAATTAAGCCACATTAATTAGCCAATCAATCCCATTAAGGGCTGCCGCCATCCCTCTCTCTCCTATCCAACTAATGCCCCATTAGACCTTCCAATTAATCCATTATTTTTCCTCCAAGACCAGCCATCCCTCCTTCCCCTGTTTATTTCCTTGGGGTTCAAATTCAAATCCCACTAATCAAATCTCCCAAGGCTTCAATCAAATTGCTCAATCAAGCCCTTGCATGACCGGCCCCTCCCCCTCTCTCCAATTCAATTAAGCCACATTAATTAGCCAATCAATCCCATTAAGGGCTGCCGCCATCCCTCTCTCTCCTATCCAACTAATGCCCCATTAGACCTTCCAATTAATCCATTATTTTTCCTCCAAGACCAGCCATCCCTCCTTCCCCTGTTTATTTCCTTGGGGTTCAAATTCAAATCCCACTAATCAAATCTCCCAAGGCTTCTTGTAACTGTTGTCCTCCAACCCCTTGGTTTTCTCAATCTAGAACCAACTAGTTGAAGATCGTAAGCCTCCAAAGTTGCTACCCAGATTTCCTGGACAGCTTTAAGGTTGCTGTCCCGAATTTCCAGCAAGTGCAAACCTGTCGACCTGCTATCCTGCTCGTCGTAGTAGCTGTCCAGAAGTTCCTAGTTGTTGTATAGTAAGTTCAGCAAACTCCTATTGTTATCTCGCCACCCAAAAAGTCTCCAATTGCTGTCCAAAGGTTCCCGAACCTTGAAGTTGTTGTCCACCGTTGTATGGCCGATCCTGAACAAGATCATGGGTTCGTTTACGACGACCAAGGCCACATCGATGTCCTTAACTCACCGTTTTTCGACCTCAACCTAGAGATTGACCAAACTGTAGAGGAATACGTGGAGAGGATCGTCTTCACCCTCACTGAAGCCATTGACGAACAACTCTCCTCTGTGCAATGGCAGATTGTTTCCAAACCCTGACAAAGGTAAGCTCTTCCTCCAAATTTTATAGCTTCCGAATTGCTCTCAATTGTGGTTATAATTGATTCATGAATGTTGTGTTAATTCCCTCCGCTAAGCCAAGTATTCTAAAGAGTTGAGTATGGGATCTCTTTCGTAGTGACTAATCTCATTGTTAATTTAGGGATTTATCGTAGAAAATCCTTCATATATGCTATGCTTGAGTAATTGATTATTTTGTGATCTTAACTTCTAATTGTATGACTTGGCCTAAGCTAGTTTTACCCTTCTCTTGTTTTCTTTCATTGTTTAAAATCACTGCAAGTTTAAAAACTAATATTGCTCTCAAATAAAAACATGCAATTTCTTACTTAACATTGCCCAAGCATTTAAGTCCTACATCACTTACCTAAGTTTCTCTTGCTCTACTCTTGATGTGCTGTCTCAGAAATTGACAAATGTTAATCTATTAATGTAAGAGGACTGCACATCTTCACATTAGATTTAAATAATAAGGTAACTTAGATCTTGTCAATCAAGTTTGGGCCTAGTAATGATGGGGTCTTCTGCAAAGCTGGGACTCACCAGCTAATTAAAGTGGATTCAGACTTAAACTGTAAAGGATGGATATTTCAAAATAAAAATAAAAATCCTATACTATTATTATCTTTTTGAAATAGTTGTAATAACAATAAAAATAACAGTTACAGTAACAAGATGATTAACAACAATACCTGTGCCAAAAATGTAGAACCTCTCGATATCTCCTGCCCAAGGGATGATGGGCAGTTTTGACCTTCTTTCTTCAAAGAGAACTTAGAAACAGAATCTTCTTTAGCTAAACTGGTAGATTCTTTATCTTTACTTATCAAAGGACTAATTAGGTCTGCCGTTCTTCTCTGCATGTCAAAACTTCCAGCTTCTAAATGGCTACAAGAAGTGGGCAACAATTGCTTGCAGCAAATCTCTGGAGAAGCAACAAATCTACAATTGGACTCTTCATTGATCAGTTTTGATCTCTTAGGTAATTTGACTGAACAATGCACAACAGCATCTTCTGGTCTCAAATTTCTATCATCTGACATGTCACTTGTCAAATCAACTATTTTATTATCATGATTTATGATGCTCCCATGAGTTCCATGTCTATTTGTGATGGAGAACATCTCTCTTTTGTTGCTTGCACTTAAGTTATGATTCTGTTTATAAGAGAAATTAGAGCGATTTGCAGGTATGATCGGCCCTAACTGAACATGAATTTTCTTCTTAAGAATTGAAGGTGCGGATGACGGTAGATCACTGTTTACATGCTTAATACGTGGACTCTGGTGGAAAAAGTGGGTTATGAGAATGGATGTTGTACACCAAAAAAAAAAAAAAACATCAGCTAGCAACTAATTCAACCTTAAACTAGGTTGATGCAGAAATTTACCAAGCAGCTCAATAAATCTGATGTGAATATTGGTTGCTCTTCCATCTTGATCTCCTCTGTATGATATAGAAATTATGGGGCATCAGCTGTTAATTTAAGCAAGCACCAACGCATATGGAATACTGAAGAGTAATATAGAATACTTATGAACAATTCTATCGGAAAAATTTATATATATATATGACGGTTTCAACAGCTGTAACGGCTGTAGGTAATTACCGATAATAAAAGTAATCTAGATTGCAATCCAAAAAATTAATGTGCCCGTTGCATTCTAAAGTCAATTGACTCAGTCCTGAAACAAAAGTTCATAATCCTTCATAAATTTTCAACGTTGGGATCCAATAAGCAACTTGCCAGCACTTTTCTGCCAATTGATGGGATGGGCTCTGGTGGGGTAGAACAGTGAAGGGTTGCAGATTATCAGTTCCTGGTCACTGTCAATCTTCTAGGCTTCAAGTCGTTTTTCTTACATAATTTCCACTAATTGGACCACAGTACTACTATGACAGTAATACTAAACTGGTTAAATTTTATTGTAAGGCCAACATTTATTCAGCTAAATGATTTTCAAGTTGAGTCATGACAGTAACATCACCCAACGAACGGTAAAAAAAAAAAAAACACCTCTATCTGGCTGCATGGTCTCGCAAGTTTGTTGGTGCTACAATATCAAGCCATGCTGGTTGTTCCACAATCTCCTTAATTTTCAAGTTGAAACATTGTGTATAATCTCAGCACAGTAGGTTCTATAATGCTCGGCATTATGAACTAATAATTTCTTGAACTTGTATGGTAAGAGTGCTACGTTTTCCATGTCAGAGTCAAAACCAATGTTGGGCATCACAGTGCATCCTTTATAACTTACGCCTCATATGAGAATCAATAGCCTTATGCCTCCTAGTAACACCAAAAAACAAGTATTATATTATGTTCTACTCGTAAAATGGAGCGGATTGATATGTAGAAGTGTATGTTAATCTGTAAGGATGTGAAAGTTTTGGAATTAGTTTTTATTTTATTTTATAAAGTTTTCCTTTACTATTCATTTATTAAAATTACTACAGCCATTAGTGGAATTTCCGATTTTCCACTTAAATCCACAGCGTTAGCTTTCTTTGAAATCTAATGGCTGAATTAATTTGCATAACTATTAAGTATATTATAACTTATATATTACCTAATTATTAAATCAATTTCTATTTTCTTTTCTCTACTTCTCACATAACTGATCTCGGAACCCAAAGTAACAGCATCCCTAGAGCAGGCCGTTAGAAGAAGGAAGAGAGTTGTAGCAGCCGAAATCTAAAGAACAAAAAATAGAAAATAAGAAGAGGGAAAAAAAAGGGGCGGCTAGGGTTTGAGTAAGGAATCCGGATTTTTTTTTGTGTTAATTTATGTATTTGGGTTGTTAAACAAGTGAATAGACTTCAAGAATTGAATGAGAAGAAATACAATTGAGGTAAAAATATTATTTTTAGATTTATTATAAATTAGATTTTTAAGTTAAGAATGTGCTATAAATTGCGAAAATTATGGTTTATTTAGGTTGTTTATAGAAGAAAAGAGGTCGGGATATTCTAAGGGAACAATTTCATCTTGTCAATCCAAAGAACGAGGTGAGATATTCAATCTCTAATATAGGAAGCAAGAAATTTATAAGTCTAATTTTATAGAATTTCTTTATTTTTGGCATATGATAAGAATTTCAAAAATAATGGAGATTATATATTTAAAATCATCCATTCATAAAGAATTTATTTCACATATATGATATTCAAGACTCATGATAATTATTTTCTATCACATTATATTCTTGACTTATGTTAAGAAATGTAGAGGTAGACCTAAAAAGACTTGGTTAGAAAATATTAGAAATGACCTTTCTTTATTAGATTTAGATGATAATTTGACTCTTAACATCACACAATGGAGAAAAAGGATTCATGCAGCCGACCCCACATAGCGGGATAAAGGCTTGTTGTTGTTGTTTTTGTCACTGTTGTTGTTGTATTCTTGACACATGCTATTATCGTTTGATTAATATCAGTTAAACTTTCATGATTGACATGTCACTACAGATAAAAGGAGTACGATTTATAATGAAAGTTTTAGAGAAGTCATGTGATGGGGTATAGGCCAGTAAGTAATGACCTACATAAGAAAAGACGAAAGACCTAACGGGGTATGCCTTAATAGGGGTTGTATAGGAGGTATCTGACTCATTCTTCTAAAAAATTAGTGCATTGGGACCCAACCTTGACGAGAGGGTCATTATAAAATGGTTAGCCGATAAACTAGGCGACGACCCATTATGAATGTCTAAAAACCTATAGATATCATATGACTTTTCTATAAAATAAGAATCAAATGATAAAACCTCTAAAGAAAATTTCATATAATAATTCTATATTGTTATGCATTGATCATTTATATAAAAAAAAATAGATACAATTTATGGTTTCAGGCTTATACAAGTATATTTTTCTTTTACAACTTTACTTCTTTAAGTTATGGTTATAATTCTCTAATTAGTGCAAAACATCTATATGCATATTAATTACTTCTTATCCTTGTATATTGAATCTTGTACAACAATAGTTTATTTCATTGAGTTCTAGCTCACTGGTTGATTTATGTTGCAAGAAAGGGTAAGGAGCCAGTTGGGCTTTATAGGAGGTTGAGCAGCACTTTGTACAAAGCCTTTTAGGTGTATAGTATTTTTTTGGGTGTAGATAGAAGGTCAATAAGTAAGCTGTAAATTAAAGATTTTTGGTATGTAAATTTTTATTTGAATTTTTTTTTTTTTTTTTTTTTTTTTTTTTTTTTTTTTTTTTTTTATTTTATTTTTTTTTTTTTTTTTTTTTTTTGTGAAGCTCTGCATTTTGTATTGATGAATATTAAGCATGCTTCTAAATACTTAAAAAACCTAAGGTATAATCCAATAGTTGAAATTTAATAGTTATTTTTTGCGATAGTCTAGGCAGATAAAATTTCTACTCACTGGATCCTAAGGAGAATAATTCAGGATGGTTGTTGGTGGAATTTATATTTAACCTGATTATCCGTCATCTACATCTCAGGTTGACTAAGGGGGTATGACACTCCGCCACAAGTTTGGCTTCACATAGATCTTGCAGTCAACCTAGTAAGAAACAAATCAAACAAGACTACCGTCAACTTTATGCCGATTTAGCACTTGTCAACTCGTGATTTTTTCTAGAAAACATGAAAGACTCCACATAAAAATACAAATTTTCATTTCATGCTATCAAAAGTATCCATTGACAAAAAATTTATGCATCATATGAATGTTCAAATGAGAAATGAGATCATAAGTCATTGATAAATCATGCATGCCACCGATTGTAATGATTTTAAAGAAGATAGATGGCTTAAGGTAATGATATTGAAATCTAAATCAAGAAAAATTAGTCGAGCTCATTTTCAAGCCTTTTTAGGCCCACTTTTAATCATGATGCAATTTCTCAAAAAATTTCAGTTGATTTTTTTTTTTTTTTGTACTTTTTTCCCTTTTGGATAAAAATAGGTTTAAATTTAACTGTTTGTTTGATTTATATGGGTTTAGATTTGCATTTAAATATTTGATTATACCATTGTAACCTTATTTTCTATAAATAGAGATTCATATTATATAATTGCTTATTATTGATAATTGAATGAAAGAATAATTCAGCGTCAGAGTTTATGTACTCAGCAATCAAATTCAAGTCCTAATTATCAAATCCATCTCATGCCAAACCCATGGTACACTTTTGCACGTGATCCCCTGATCTCCTCCCACGATTTATACCACCCCACTCTGAACCTAATAGTGTACATGTCCTCAATCTTGAAATACTTTTGAATAAGCAAACAATAACAGTCCCATAATGCACGCACCCCATATCCACACAATTACACATATGCAGTCCAACTTACACTATATCCACAATGATCATCTACAAAATATCCCCATGCATGACTTTTAGTAAACTCATGTTGAAACAATCATACATCTCCCCTCAATCTTGAATTACTTATGTATCACAAACACAAAATCTCGTAAAATTGTGACGTTAAATGACTCATGTTCACACGATTTTGGTTTTGTTGCCCAACTGTCTCCTCACCTGTGACCAGCCGCCCTTGCAACACAAGCATTATGCCTACTTGCCGCCACGCATCTCCTACTTCCTTGCACCTCACAGCATACACTTGCACCAATCTACAATTTGCTTCATCCGTTAAAAAAATACAAAAATTTGACATAATCAGAGGGGCTCTGATGTAGAATGGGTAGGAGGTTTTGAATGCTGTCTTGAAGAGCAATTAGTGATGTCTAAACTGCAGCTTTGACAGCAGGGACAGCAGTTTTATCTTGTAGAAACTTCAGGACAGCAGGTAGAATCTGTCCGTAATGCAGAAAACTGTTCTGGACAGCAACCTATATTGCTCAGAAAAACTTTGGGCAGCACATAGAAACTCTGGGACAACCATTCGTGGTCTTCCAAAGTGCTGGACAGCAAGATATTCTTGCTGGAATAAGTGGACAGCAAGCAGAATTCCAGGATTAGGAGGTAGAAGACTTCACGTTGGATGGAGGACGGGAGGATTTAATGGAGGAAATCTAAACAGACTAGTGGGAATAGATGGACAGCGTTGCTGGAATTCTCTGGCTGCAGCCTTAGAAAGCAGAAAACTCAACGTCAGATGGAGTTTGGGGAGAAATTTGTGGAAGGAAATTGATATACGGGAATTGGGAATCCGGCCAGCAGTGATTTCAATTTAGAATTATGGGAAAATCTCAGGTTTTGGAATTATTTTCAAAGAGCTTTTGAGTGAATGAAGGGAGTTAATTAGGAGCATTAATTGGCACTTAATTAGAAAAAGGAGGAAGAGGGGCCGGCCTAGGAGAGAGGGAGGGAGAGGGGTTTGATTTCAAATAAGTGGGCCCCAATTACTTAAGAGAATTAATGCTTAAATCTGAAATTAAATTTCAGATTTAAAGCTACGATTAATTCCTTAATTAAAGGAAGGAAATTAAGGGGGCATTTAACTCCTAATGCAAATTTGAATTTTGGATTTGAAGAGTTAAAACCTTCCAAATATGGATCAAACCCAATTCGGAAATACTTCAAATTTGAATTCAAACGGATTTGAAATCTTTGATCATCCCAATTAAATCATCAACCTAATTAGGAAATTTCGAGGAGACGGAGAAGTGGGGATGAGGCCAGCGGCTAGGGAGCCATGGCCGGCGGTTTGAAGGATTTTCTGGTGAGGTGGCAGGCGGCTTATGGAAGAAATGGAGACGACGATGGTGGACGTAGGTAGAGG